CAAGTCCTGCAAGTGCATTTATACAAGCCTTGTAACTCAACTTAAATAAGTGGCACAATCCCCGATGCAAGTTATATAACCAGGACAAGTCCTTACTAACCGACGCGAACCTTCAAGTATGCCTCACGGACCGCAGCATCATGCTGGGCGCCCCAGTCACGTGGGTCACAGTCCGAGGGGGCACAACAGCTCAGAGGCTGTGTGTGGCTCGCTCGCACACGCAGCGAGCGCCGTCGTCGGCGGGGGACGCTCGTTTGGCGGCTCGCGTGAAGGTGAAGGTACAAGGCGCATCTGCCCCAGAGCGTGACGGGGAACGGTTGCGGCGCCGCGTTCCGACGCGGTTGCCGCCTCCGAAATGGCCCCCGCCCCTTCCCGCCGCTCAGGCTCGTCGAGAGGCCACGGGTGTCTGCGGGAGGCATGTTGGGCCTCGGGCTCCACCCGCATGTCGTGGGGGTACATTGCCCCGTCTCCGGCTCAAGTACGATGGGGTCTGCGGAGCCGCTCCCCGTCTGTCCGTAGCCAGGGTGATTGCCGTCGCGAGGCGCTGAGAATAAGCCTGGGCGCGGGTCGGGCAGGTCAGCATCGCTAACTCCCGCATTGTGTGTGCACAGCACGCGGAGCGGAGGGGGCGAGGTGCGCAGCGCGTCGCGGGAGGGCCGGCCGGCGGCGGGAGCGGAGGGAAGGGCGGCAACCCTGCACGCTGCGGAGCAGCAGCCGCACGGCCGCACGGCGGCCGTTGGGCAGCGAGCGCGCTGAAGGGCTGGTCGCCGATCGCATCGTGCGTCGCCTCAGGCCCCGGATTCTTCACCTCACCGACGCGCAATCGTCGCAAAGGCGCGGCTGCCCGCTGGGAGCGGCGTAGTGCAATGCGTGTCAGGCGAGCATTCCATTGTTAAGCAACCGTTTGGCCCGGGTCGGCAATGCAGGCGGCGGGGCAACGGTCAGGACGCGCTCGGCGCTCGGCAACCGCAACCTGGGCTCATGGAAGGTGCACATGCCACTGCAAGACGCCTTGTTTTCCAACTCACATGCTCAAGCTGCTGCCGCCGAGGGTGAGAAAACTTTAAAAAAACCCTAACACAGTAGCCCAGGCACTCAGACAGCGAGCATCGCGTTCACCGGCGCTGCAGGATTGGTGCCAGGGCTTGCACATGCTTGCACGTCCGCCGCCGCGACTGCGGGGCGGCGATGGCGCCGGCCCCCGCGCCTGCTGTGGATGATGTTTGCCAGCGCCCTTGCCTCCGCGGGAAGCGCGCCGGGTCGGGGCGGTGCCACGGTCCACTGCGCGAGGCCGGCCAGGTGTAGGCCCAGTGCAGGCGGCCGTATATAGTCCCAGGTGCTCCAGGCGTGGCGACAGGCATGGCCGCAGCGGGACGGCTCGGCGCATCTCGGCGCTGGCACGGCTGATTCCTCCAACACGGGCTGCTCCCGGTCTCGGCCACCACCATCAGTCTCCAACGAGCGATCGGCCAGGCCCAGCAAAGCGGCGAGGGCAGTGCCGATCATGCGCCACGTGGTTGCGGGCCAGAGGCGTTGCGAGACCGCCTGGCTGAGCCTCGCCTGCGCGAGGCAGCCGTCGCACTGGGTTGCCCGCGACCAGATGCCGAGGCCGCAGTTGTCGCAATGGGAGGCCGCCATGATGCCCGCGAGGTGGTGCCTGATCGTGCTGGCTGCCTTGCAGAAAATGGCTGCGGACAGATCAGGCAACATGCAGAGCAAGCAAGTGCACCACAGCCTGCATGCAAGACCCGTGCGGCTAGCGGGACGCGGTGACCCCGCGGTTGCGGCGACGACGTGGCTGAGTCGACGTTGGGGTGGCCGGGGCGGCCGGAGCAGGAGTGGCCTCTGCAAGAGTTGCCGGGGAAAGGCCGGCGCTCGCGGCGAGGGCGTGCAGCTCGTCACCCCCCCCAGACCAACGCTGCGCAGCACCTCCACAGCCGCGTCGGCTCGGGTGTGGACCGAGTCCTGGGGTGAGCGCTCGGGCCGAACAAGCAGGCCCCGCGCCGCGCCTGCATGCCGCGCGCCGAAGAGCACGCACGCGAGCAACACGGGACGCAGGAGCGCTAGGCCCAGCAGGAGTCAGCCCCACACGAGCGACAAGGGTCCGAAACCAGCGGAGAAGACTTTAAGCAGACAGGCTCCACGCCAGAGCAGAGCAGCGCCGAATGGGCCATTGCCTGTCGGCAGGTCGGAGGCAGGCTTGCAGTCAGGACCTTGCCGTGCGAGACTGCCCATGCCGCCGAAGCAAAGAGGCGCGCCAGCCAGGGCGTCATGCCATGCGCACGCGGGCAGGGGGGGAAAAGTTTCGTCACTTGAGCTTGAGCCTTGAGCCAAAATGGCTTGAGCCAAAATGGCGGCAAGTTGTGCCAGATGCCACAACAGAACCCAGTAGAAACGACTTTGATGCTTCGAGCGCACAAACATCCATGTTCACATCCCCGAACGGCGGGGGGAGGCCAGGCCAACGGTGGCGAACGAAGCCCGGTCACATGCGGGATCCTTTCAGGCAGGCACGTTGGCCCCCCTGAACCGCTTCATGAGAAAAAAACAATGACGTTAAGTTCACGGTGAGGGCACGAGATGCCGGGGTCCTTACTTGCCTTTACGCCCAGGCAGCAGACAAACGACAGTATTTCACCAAGTGAATCAACTAACAAAGGCGCACACTCACGATGGGCCAAGCAGGTCGTGTGCTTCGTGGCCGAAGCGTCCTCTGACTCTGTGACCCTCATCTCCGGACAACCGACTGTCCGCCGGCGTTGTGCCGCATCGATGACCCAGTCCGCGTGTCCATGCCCGACCGGTGCCGATCGTCAGTTCTGATCTCGCTATCGAGGAGCTCCAGCATCAGGGCTTGCCGAAAGGAGCAGCGCCCCGTGCCGTGTTCGGTGAGCGATGACAAGTTGTGTGCGGAAGATCTGCGGGCGGGTGCGGGCGGGATGTCGGTTAGGCCCGTGATCTTGCCCGGCGCAAAGCCGACTGTGGTATGTCGGACAGTTGGACGAAACGGGATGTCGAGAAGGGAGCCTTTTTGAAGCTCGAAACATGGAGGAAATCCGCTTGCGGGCCGGACCCAAAGCGAAACGGTGATGAGAGCAGCCTCCCTTAAGGACTCTCTTGATGCCACAATCATTGTAAGCCCCCTTGCATGAAGACGACTGTGTACGCAAGAATGGATCCTGTCTATCTCGAGCAATGCACCCAACTCTTTTCGGCCTGCATTATGATAAGAGCCCACTGCCCGGGTCTTGCAAGACCAACTCATTTTCCAGCAAGCCGGAACTGATATTCTTCAAGACCCTGGCTGGTATGTTTACGGCGATGGCAATGGACAACTAAGACCTTGTTCAGTACGTCCTTACAAGCGCTATCGAAGCACAACAGTTCTCAATGCTGCCAGCTCCTGTTGAAACTGCGGTTCAATCTAGATGTTCGCGCATCTATGGATGCTTGAATCTAGAATCCGCCTGAGGTGCACATGCTTGTTGAAGGTCTCTTTGAGACTCGCACATGTGAGAACTTGGGAATCCGACGCAAGGTTGCGGGATGCAGATCTGAAACCAGCAGGAACTGACAGACGTAGGCTTGTGGCACGAGAAATGGCAGAGAACTTACAATGCTTTTTCGCACACACACACACACAAAGAGACTTTTGCTTCGCACACAAAACAGCACCCGCAACCCGAAAAGGTCAAATCAGGACAAGTCCCCATCTGCATGGCCACAAGGAAAGGAACCCAGCACTCCCTTACGAGAGGCTTCATGACCTCTAGTTCGGCAGGAGACAGATGAGTGCTGAGCGGTGTTCCGGGCTGCTCCGGTGGCTTCAACCACTGGAGAGCACGTATATGGCCACTTTGTCATGGCACTAGAATGCTAGTTACTGCTAGTTACGAACCGACTAAGCGAAAATGGGAAGCGGCGATTGGCTTCACCGGTCCATGATCTTCTCCGCCTGCTACCGCTTTGTCACGCAAGCCGCATGCAGTGCCAGAAGCCATCAAGTGACATCTCAGGCACTGACCAGGGAGAGATCTAGTTTGAGGTCTTCCTCATCAATCTCAATGTCGAGGTTGCCATCATACCTGCCGTGTCAGCCGAAACGAGAAGTTCCGAGAAGCTCCGAGTGGCGCTCAGGAGCAGGCTGCACCATCAACCCCAGCGCATCGTGGATCACTCGCACCTCCCAAAAAAAAGAACATTACTTTCCGCATCAGGAGCTATTGTGGCTGGTTTGGCCTGGGCAACCAACTCATCGATCTCTGGTTCATCTAGCAACTTGGCAGTTTTGGTTCGACACCTGAGGTACACAGCTCAAGCTTGCCAGCATCCTCTTGCATGAACCGTAATATAAAATAACAGTTCTGGACGATGACCTGCACAAGGTTGATCTTTGCATAAAGCAATCCACAGCACTCGAGGCTGAGATCCCAGCTTTCTGTTTGCAGTTGGCCGGTTGATCACCACTCTTCGGACAGCATCACGCTCGAAAATCGAGTCACCTTCCCATCAATGCAAGACTGATGCCGGGCTTTCGAGGGTGTGACCAAGCCATGCCAGATGCACCAATGGAGATGATGTTCTTCCAGCTCTGATGCGCATACCGAGAGTAGAAGCCAGTGATCTCCTGCTCGAAGGCGATTTCCTGCAAAAGCTCTCGAAAGCAGACCAAGCCGTGAAAGGCACGCAGCTTCTACGTTGCGCCCTGAAGCGTCCTTCCATCTTTGTGGAGCCATCTCATCAACCTTAGCAAAAACGACAAATCTAAACGTTTCTTGCATGTAACAGCAACGACATTTGAAAGGAGTGTCCAGAAGCATGCTCTGAATTGTTGTCCCTCGAAGCTCTTACCTGTAGAAACCTGCACAGCCCTGCTCTCCAAGCTATTGCTGCACGCACCGTATTACAAGTGCATAAAAGCAGTAACCATCGGCAACGGCAAACACAAGCCTCTGCCCTGAGAGGCTCGCGGGCGCCGCAGCCATGCGCTGGCTCGACCCGCTCAACTGTTCGCAGGGCGACTGTGTCGATTTTCGAATCACATTCGTACACTTTCGGGCATACGGGCTGCATGCTACAGAGGACATCAGAGGACTCGGGATGGAAAAGAGAGCACACGGCCGACTGGCCTGCTCTGACACTCCATGCAAAGCCTACGAGTCTATAGTCAACAGCCTTGTTCATGCCATTCGCAGCATACAGACCAGGCAGGGCTCGGCCAGGTGACGAACCACGCGCCTCAGCGGTAGTCTTTCGTGGCGGAGTGCTATCTCAAGCCGTGCAAACGAAGCAAAGACTGCCGCCTGCTTCTTGGCAGCTTCGCATGTCATGGTGTCGAACACTGATCTGGCCTCAGACAAGACTCTCAGCACCGGCATCCTTTCGCTGGAACGGTAACCGCTCCAAAGAAGGTCTTAACATTGACGGTTTTGGCTTCTCCTGCCAAGCCTACCAAGGAACGATGTACTGCTACATAATCAAGTCCTCTTCCAGGCTTCGACATCTCACCTTCACTGCAGCCAAACCAGTGCCAAGGGGCGTAAATGACCTGCACCTGCGAAACGATGGGCATCAAGGCGGGCAAGAAGTTCCTGCCGGCACTCGAGGGGGGCAGTCGGCTAAACCGGCTTCTGCTACATTAAAATGGCGTACATGAGCAGTGTGCGGCTCGACTCTTCGTGTTGCTGTCGCATCTTGTTTGTTCTGAAAGATGTGATGGCGGAACTCGGAATGTATGGGGAGTCCTTAGTGGAATATTCTTAGCGAATTTGCCTCGGCATGCCGCCAAAGATCTGTATTCCAACTCACCTGTTGTTTCGGACATGGGACTAATGCCCTCAGCCTTGGCGCGCTTTCCATTTCGGAACGGTCACCGGGTGCACCCACCTTTGTTCGGGGACCGGAGTGCGACCTCCTGGTTTTGCACCACGACATTAAGGAGGTTGGAAGCAAGCCCTCATCTTGTTCCAGGTTTTCGACCCAGCTCAGCCGGAAGCTCAAAGCAGGCGGACCTGCAAGACGTCTCCACCCAAGGTTCCATTGCATTGGTCACAATGATTACCTGCACATGTTGCACTTTTGCAAAACCTCTGCTATGCAGACCAGAAATGCTGAGCACTTGCCTTGCCCATCTTCATGGCAAGCTTCAGAGTGGCCTGAATCGCAAGGCAATAGCATTGGGTGTGAATGCCCGTCAGGTACAAGCTTTTTTGAAGCAATGTCCAGGGTTTGGAACTCCGGGCATAACTGCCAGTTGCCTCTACATGCTTCTGCAGCTCTCGCAGAGGTCTCTGGTACCTGAAAGGATGTAGGAGACACGACGTGAGAGCAGCTCAAGCGACGAAAACACACGGAATCTGCGGAGCACTTCTCGTCAGCAGGGCAAGGCTTGAAGAAACTGAGCGCTGGCCGGTTCTGCGGCAGGTCTGCTACAACGCTATACACATTACACTCCAAGAAAGTCGACATTGACACTGCTGGCAATCATGACATGTGCCGTTCCTCTCTTATCCAATTCGACGGGCATAGGGTGTCATCCCAGTCAAACAAGATAATCGTCTGCTCTGGTCTGAAATACCTGCTCGGCCAGGCCATGCAGTTCTCAGTTCTCAACACGCTGTTCCCGAGCAGTAATTGAAAGCCCAGGTGCTCGGCTTGACTGCCTGTGCTAGTGATTGATTCAATCGTCTGACGTATCGTGGGCTTCAGACGTGAAGATGTCGAATTTGGAGTAGTATTGGAGGTGGAAGGTGATAAAGCCTGTGCCAGAGGCAACAGCTCGGATGCTGCTCTCGCACACTGTCTGTGAATTGCACGGAGCTCAGGCGTCCTTGGGGCTGGTATTTGCTCCCACGCGACGTGTGACCTGCAAGCTTTCCGAAGCCCTGCGGCTGTCTGCAGGCTCCTTTGTCACTGCGTAGCTGAGAGCAGTTCGATGGGCCCTTGTGAACCCACGGACGGCGAGGGCCGAGTGGCCGCCATGCCACCTTGGCCGGCTCACAAAGCACCCGTCGAAGGTCCGCTAGGTTCGACGGCTTCGAGGTACATCACCTGCTAGACACTGAGACTCAGAAGGCCCTGACAGTCCTGCCAACAGGAATCAACAAAAAAGGGATAGCATCTCGAGCCAAAGTTCAGCGGAATATTGAAAGCACTTTCCAAGGTAAGCACCAGCCGCGGGCAGGGCAGAGGAGGGCCGGGCTGGGGCTGGCAGGACCAAAGCAGGGCAAGGCAGGGAGAGGTGATGGAAGCTGCCCAAGCATACGGAGACACCCCCTCAAAGCCGTCTACTCAAAGTCCACGTCAGCTGCTGTGACAATGACAACGCTTGGCTGCTTGGCCCAAGCACCGATTTGGGCTCATCAAACACGCAGGCAGCCGACACATTGACATGCCGAATGGACAGCGAGACACTGATGGAGTCACTTCATTGATCGCACTCTCTTTTTGCTACGCTGCCACGCTGCATATCCACACGCTGAAGGCTGAGGTTGCTGGGGGGAGGGGCCGCTCAGCTCAGCTCTAGGATCTGCTACTGCTCGACGACCTCCTCCTCCGCCTCTTGTCCTTATCTGCTAACAAGCTGAAGCCTAAAAGCTTCAGACCCACGAATGGCCTTTGCTACCATTTCCGTCAACACCTTTGTACCAGAGCGTACATGGTCACAAGCCCGGGGTGATCAACACATTGACAGATTCTTTGCATTGAGATGTCTTTCCTGAAAATCTTGGAATGTTTACGTCGGCCCCATCATAGGCGCTCGGCGAAATAGGCTTTGCTTTCCGTCAAGGTCGCAGGGTCACCGAGTCGCGATAAAGTTTCACGAAGCCTCAATTGAGCCTGGGCCTGGAGACCCGCCGGATATGGTAGGTGCATCAATTTCGCGCATCGCGCGGTCCACGTTCACGAATCGCCACTGCCAGACAACAGCAGCTTTCAGACTCGTAGTGTCAAGAACAGACTGGACTGTACGAGCTTGGGCCTCTGTACTTCCACTGTTCTTGTTCCATACGACATGAACATTTCTTTTAGCGGTAGGCTACAGCGTTCCCCTTTTCTGAATCTCTGTTTCAGTCCGACTAGGCAAAGAAATGGGCATGGGCTGAGATTTGCCGACTCAGAACATGATGCCACTGGATGCTGCAGTGTTGCGTGATCGCGCTCCCGCTCTCGTTCACGCTCGCGATCACGGTCACGATCACGCTCGCGATCACGACCACGGTCGCGATCCTTGTCACGGTCACCGCCGCCGCCGCCGCTGCCTGCACATGCATCTCCAAGGCAAAGCAACAAAGGATTGCGGCATCTCAGTATGCTCGTAACAGCTAGTAACGGTTAGCACATGAAAACCTTCAGGACACAAAGATGAACGAGAGACCTCAGCAAGGCAAAAATCAAGAGCACATTGCAAGCACCGAGCAGAGCAGCCACAGCCTGCACCGGCCCTGACATTGGTGGCCTGGTCTTTGCCTTTCCTTTCGTTGTACTCCTCTGCACGAACTCTCGGAATGACACGAGCTTGACGGGAAAGCTGCGGCCACTCATTGCAGTGACCAAGCCCGTCGAGAACTGTCCTTGTCATACGTAACCTTGTCCCCTTCCTGAATGCTTCCATCGCCGTCTGCCAGGGCTGAGACGTGGGCAAACAGGTCCTGACTCAGGACAGACATGCAAGGCAGTGAAATGACAGCGACTTGGGAGGCCTCACCGCCATCATCAGGCTTGATGAAGCCGAAGCCCTGGGCACAAGGACGATTTCCCGAAGGAAACCAGTGAAACCAGTCTGCCAATGCTTTGACTTCAAGTTGACGGCAGAGACCGTTTGGTCGACTGTTTCACAGCTGCACCTTGTCGCTGTGCCAGCGGACCATGGTGCCAACCTCCTCGCTTCAGGTGAACCGACTTGCACTCCTTTCCTATGATCAGCAAACTGTGACAGTTCTTGATGGAGCAATCGGAGCATGCCTTGCCAGGCTCATTGCTCTTTGGCTTGGGCTTTGATCCTGGCCACATCAGAGTGTATGCGACAGCATCAGATTTCATATGATCGGAGAGACTTCCATGCAGCATGTGACAGCAGTGCCTTGCTCTGACACTGCTGAGACATATGAGAGGACTTGTGACAAGGAAGTGTGCACTTGAAGACGTATTAGGAATCGCCACTGCTTCTGGAATTCTAGAGCCAAGAAGGAATCTCTCGGCCTCTGTCGCCTCCACCAGTTCGGCCTCGAGAACGGCTACGATCGCCTCAGGCTCCAGTCGAGAATTAGCAGCAAACGGCAGCAACGGCAAACAAGAACATCGACAAGCTAACCCTTGATTGTACCAGCTTCAGGCTCTGGCGACTTCTCTCCCGGCTTCTGTCGCGCCCGCCTCCAGGAGGTCTTCTCCTGACACTCCACTAGCCACGGCTGTAGCGGGCCATAGCGACCCTAACATGTCCAAATGCAAGCCTCTTCGCGGCAGCACTGATCTCCGAGAGCTCCCCCGGCGCACTGAGCTCCACTTCGGAGGCGCGATATTTGCCCTCCGCACATGCTGAACCAGCTGTCACAGCGCTCAAGCAAAGTATGGAAAGTCTCAGCCTTGCGATCGTCCCATTTCTCAGTGTACAGCACGGTGTCTCCCTGTCCAGGCTAGGCAGGGACATCCTAGCACTCCCGCACGGCTTGCTGCACTGTGGTTCACTTTCGGCCCTATGCCTTCCTCCAAATTCCGAGCGAACGCAAACTTGAAGATCGCAGGAAAAGCGCGCATCGCGCAGGTCTTCTTGCAGCGGCAGCAAGCTGTCCCAAACCAAAAGATGAAACGAATCCTTTATGAGAATGGCTTGGACTGCAGGGTTCGTTTGGAGTTGGTCCGAAACAGCACCCCTGGCTTTTGCACAGCGAGCCCCTTAGTGTAATTTCCAGGGCCCAACGGCCCTTTCCACCACTGTCGTGGGCCCAAATGACGGGGCGTGTTTAAGATACATGGTGAATCCGGTATGATGCACCGGATTCGCCAAATGACGGGCGTGTTACGTATAGATGCTGAATCCGGTTTGATGAACCGACATCGCCAAATTAGGATGAGACGGAAACGCCAAATGAGGGGGCGTGTTTAAGATATAGGATGAAACCGAATCGCGAAATGAGTTACTAAATGCGGGGGCATGTTTAAGTAAGATATATGATGAACCGGAATCGCCAAATGAAGGGTCGTGTTTAGGGTATATGGTGAATCCGGCATGACGAACGGGTGAGGGGGTAAGTTTAAGATAGAATCGCCAAATGAAGGGACGTGTTTAAGATGTATGACGAACCGGAATCGCCAAATGAAGGTGAGGGGGTATGTTTAAGATAGATGATGAACCGGAACCGCCACATGAGGGGGCGTCGTTGAAGATATATGGTGAAGCCGGTATGGTGAACCGGGAACACCACTCAGTCATGCATAAGCTCTAATTAATGCACAACCAAATCTTCACACGCACGTAAGAATCAGAAGCTCAGGGGCAGAGTGGACGGACCTGTCGGACAGGGCCTATGACGGGGGCGGACAGGGCCTACGGCAGGGCCTACGGACAGGGCCTGTGAAAGGACGGACAGGGGCTACGCCCTGTGACGGTGTGTGGCGGGGCGTGACAGGGTATAGGCCCTGTCCGGCCCGTCCACCCCTGTCGTAGGCGCAAGCCCTGTCCGCCCCCGTCATAGGTCCTGTCCGTCCGCCCTACCCGTGGGCTTCTGATTATACTTGAAGCGAACAAGATACATGATGAACCGGAATCGCCAAATGAGGGGACGTGTTTAAGATATATGGTGAATCCGGTATGATAAACCGAATTCGCCAAATGCGGGGGCGTGCTTAAGGTGGTGCTTAAGGTGTAGGACGAAACCGAATCGCGAAATCAGTTACTACATGAGGGGGCATGTTTACGGAAGATATATGATGAACCGGAATCGCCAAATGAGCGGGTTTGTTTAAGATATATGGTGAATCCGATAGGAAGAACCGGAATCGCCAAATGAGGGGGTCGTGTTCAGGACATATCGTGAATCCGGTATGACGAACCGGAATCGCCAAATGAGGGTGAGGGGGCATGTTTAAAATATATGATGAACCGGAATCGCCAAATGAGGGGACGTGCTTAAGATGTAGAATGAACCGGAATCGCCAAATGGCCGGGCGTGTTTAGGATATATGGTGAATCCGGTATGATGAACCGGAATCGCCGAATGACGGGGCATGTTTAAGATATAGGACGGGTCCGAATCGCGAAATGAGGGGGCATGCTTAAGATATATGAGGAACCGGAACCGCCAAATGAGGGGGCGTGTTAAGATATGATGAACCGGAACGGCCAAATGACGAGGCGTGTTAAGTATAGATGCTGAATCCGGTATGATGAACCAGAGACGCCAAATGACGGGGCGTGTTTAAGCTATATGGTGAATCCGGTATGATGAACCTGAATCGCCGAATGACGGGGCGCGTTAAGTATAGATGCTGAATCCGGTATGATGAACCGAAACCGCCAAATGGCGGGGCGTGTCATATGGTGCATCCGGTATGATGAAACGGCATCGCCAAATAACGGGGCGTGTTTATGATATAGGACGGGTCCGAATCTCGAAATGAGGGGGCATGCTTAAGATATATGAGGAACCGGCACCGCCAAATGAGGGTGCATGTTAAAGATATATGATGAATCAGAATTAGTGACGGGGCTTGTTAAGCATAGCATAGTTAAGCCGCATATATGCTGAATGCGGTATGATGAACCGGAGATGCCAAATCACGGGGCGTGTTAAGTATATATGCTGCATCCGGTATGATTAACCGGAGACGCCAAATGAGGGGGCGTGTTTAGGATATAGGATGAACCGGAATCGCCGAATGGCCAAATGACGGGGCGTGTCCAAGATACATGGTGAATCCGGTATGATGAACCAGAGACGCCAAATGACGGAGCAAGTTAAGTACAGATGCTGAATCCGGTATGATGAACCGAAACCGCCAAATGGCAGGGCGTGTTTAAGATATATGGTGAATCCATGTGAATCCGGTATGATGAAACGGAATCGCCAAATAACGGAGCGTGTTTAAGATATAGGACGGGTCCGAATCTCGAAATGAGGGGGCATGCTTAAGATATATGAGGAACCGGCACCGCCAAATGAGGGTGCATGTTAAAGATATATGATGAATCAGAATTAATGACGGGGCTTGTTAAGCATAGCATAGTTAAGCCGCATATATGCTGAATGCGGTATGATGAACCGGAGATGCCAAATCACGGGGCGTGTTAAGTATATATGCTGCATCCGGTATGATTAACCGGAGACGCCAAATGAGGGGGCGTGTTTAGGATATAGGATGAACCGGAATCGCCGAATGGCCAAATGACGGGGCGTGTCCAAGATACATGGTGAATCCGGTATGATGAACCTGAATCGCCGAATGACGGAGCAAGTTAAGTATAGATGCTGAATCCGGTATGATGAACCGAAACCGCCAAATGGCAGGGCGTGTTTAAGATATATGGTGAATCCATGTGAATCCGATGATGAAACGGAATCGCCAAATAACGGAGCGTGTTTAAGATATAGGACGGGTCCGAATCGCGAAATGAGGGGGCATGCTTAAGATATATGAGGAACCGGAACCGCCAAATGAGGGGGCGTGTTAAGATATGATGAACCGGAATGGCCAAATGACGAGGCGTGTTAAGTATAGATGCTGAATCCGGTATGATGAACCGGAGACGCCAAATGACGGGGCGTGTTTAAGATATATGGTGAATCCGGTATGATGAACCGGAATCGCCAAATGACGGGGCGTGTTCAAGATATAGGACGAAACCGAATCGCGAAATGAGTTACTTGTTGAGGCGCATGTTTAAGTAAGTTATATGATGTACCGGAATCGCCGAATCAGGGGTCGTGTTTAGGATATATGACTTGACAACAAATACAGAGTCGTGAACGCCCATGTGCCGTGCACTGTGACAACCGATTACACTGGCCGGGTGATTATGCAGTGCATCTACACCTCTACTGCAAATCGGCTGAACGTAGATGATGTCTCAGAGGATTCGTTGGATACTGCATCAGCTGCATTGATCTGCCCTGTTGTTGCCTCCACCACACTGCCCTCTCCCTCTTGGAGGTCCGACACGTGGCAGAAGACATCCTGCAAGACAGAGAACTCGATGAAGACAATTGAAGATGTCATGGGGCTGACGTTGCCGACGTCAGCAAGATTCGTGAGTGATTGCAGCAAACGCTTCTGTTCAGGATTGTTGCGCAACGTCCTCGTTGTCAGCTGCTGGTTGGACCGGTTGGATGAAGCCGAAACCTCGGTACATGAAGAACATAGAAAAGCAGTCTGCGCCGAATCTCCTGGGTCAGCGGGCCCTTCTCGTTGTTCCATCGTACCTCTCCAAGGAGCGGGCTGTAGAGCCAAGGTCGTGAAGGCTGAGGTCACTGAGCTTCACGCAAGAACTCCGACGGGCATCCTTCTTGGGCCACCGTGCGGGGCCACGGCTCTGGGGAGGCTGAAGCCAAATGCTGCACAACCTGGCTTTCAACTGGCGCTTGCGCTTCTCAGTCGGAATGCGTGGAGGTTGCTGTACTCTGCTCCGTCTCACTGTAGTGCAGCGCTTCAATTTCCAGGCGCGGCATACTGGTAGCTAATGCGTGACGGGTTGTTGTGCCCGTGGTCGAGCGCCGTGTTCTATGTGCATGCCATCGGCACCGAACAACATTGGTGGGAGTGCGGCACGCCACAGAAGACGCTGCGGCTCTGTGCAGCAAGTTCCATGAACAGGATTGCTTCAGATACATGGGGAGGGATGGGGAGGGTTTGCAGAACGCAACACCTATTTCACCTGATCAGCTGCTCGCTGCAGAGCTCCACACTACTCCGCGCTGGCGCGCGCGGGTGTCTGCTAGACAGCAACCTCACCTTCCGGTGGAATTGCGTGACCTGGCTGTGTAGAGAAACTGAGTGCTGCTTCTCTCTGCTCAAGATGCATGCCGGACGGTAAGCGCGCCGTGAGTTCCGATAAGACAATACCCATAAAGTCAGGCTGCAGAAGCCCCTGGCCGGGTGTCAGGTGCGTCGGGCAACTCGGGTTCCGGGCGATGCCTTCAGGGTCTCAGCATTGAAAAGATGTCGAAGCGGAGAGCCTGCAAGAAGCTCTTTTTTTTTCGGAGATTCGGAGAGGACGTAGCACAAGTCATTGGCCCAGGCCTTGGCAGCTCCATGCGGCGTGGTACCTTCTTTCAATAGTCAGGCTTCGATGCCACAAAGGCAGATCAGGACCCTGCAGAAAGCCTGGCAAGCCTTATTGATTCTCTTGCATCTTCGCCGGGAGGGATTTCACCTTCTCGACCTTCTGGAGACTTAAACACACATTGCAAATTCCAAGAGCCGAAGTGATACGACAACGGCCTCAGCCACATCTTGCAAATCCTGTGCACATGTCTACCAACGTCTTCGGGCTCTTCCTGGGGCCAAGGCCGTATCTCCACCGGCCCATCCTATCTTCGTTCCGTCAAGCCCCTGGTGCGACAAACCCACAACAGAGCTGCAGGTTTCGACACTCGGGTCCAAATCCTAAGCGGCTGCTGTATGAAGCATCGAAGGCTCACACAGGCTTGGTGAGAAAGTCTAAAACTCCAACGACGACAATACAACTAAACCTGTGCCGTGGTTGTGGCACTTGTGCGACAGTACTGGTGATTATAAGAGCCTCTCTCAGGCTGCAACTCTAGCGCTAGAGCGGCTGTGGGGATGGGAAAGCCTTGCCTCGCGGTCTCGGTTCTGCTGACCCTCGCGTCCAGGTCTTGCCTAAGCAACACGCTCAGGCCAAAAGGTGTGTGCGAATGACAGTCGTTTTGCTCTGGCCTTTCGGCTCGAAGCGCTTTTCGGCTTTTTGAGCGATATCTTGAATCGAGGTTGGGCCACGTGGCCCTGGCCTATGTACAGTAGAGCATCCAAGCTCGGAAGATCCGCGGCTCAGGCTTCCGGAGTCGGCTAGATGAGGACCTGGCGTTTGGCACGACGGTCACGGCTTCGGAGCTCGCAAGCCGCAAAACTTAACCGGGAACCGGGTTATCAATCCTATGTAATCCGTCTTCACTGGAAGCCAAGGCGCCGTCCCGTCGGCCTCCCAGCAGAGCTCCTCGGCTTCCAAGTTTGGCAGTGGAGCCTGCGACAGATCTCTGGCACTCGGCACGCGCAATCTCACGGTCAGGCGGCGCGGCAAAGCATGGCCGAGCTTCTGTGAGACGCAGGCTCTCTTTTTGGCACGGCCACGGGTCAGAACTTGAGAAGCCGTCGAGGCAAGAGCTTTCCGCGTGCTCTTTCGTACCTTCTCGGTGTCGAAGTTGTCTTTGTCGCCGTGTTTCCGAGAGTCCGGGTGCTCGCAGAGGTCGATTCGGTCAAGGAATCGCTAACCTCAGCACACACAGACCTCAAAGCCTCACTTTGCAAAATGAAACTGACGAGTTTCACCCTTGCTGCAGCTGCAGGAGCTCAGAGATCTAGCGTGTCTAGGACGCTTTGCAGCTCATCGTCATATTGCGCCCATTCCGGTGCAATCCGCCGTGCTTGCTGTAGCTTGCCTTCCTTAGAGGACAGACCGGTCAACCCGGCGCAACACGGGCAATTCTGGATGGCAGCGCGACTAGACATCGGAAAGCATCAACACAACCGTTGTTTTCGTAGACCTTTCTCAGCTGTTTTGAGCCAGTAAGGTTCCCACATCGCTACGATCCATGGAGAGTTCCCACCACGTTTGATGCAAGCTGGAGGATCCGCAAAGGGTGTTGGTGAGTGCACAGGCCCGTAGCCGTAGCCTGAAACTCAACAAAAGCTTAGCGGTTTGCGATTGAAGCCTTCACCGGCTTCGTATTGCCAGGCGTGTCAAAGCTGTCGAGCCAGATGCCTGACAACCCTATCCGCTAAACCCCACAGCTCCCCCAACCCACAAGCTCGGACCCAGGGTCATCGAGACCGCGCCAATGGAGCAGGGGTGTGGGGGCTTCTTGCTTGCTAAAGCACAAAGTGGCGTGGAGAGGAAACAGCCGCAATAGCCCCAACTACAACCGGAACTCGATACCACAACCAGAGACCATATACCGTATACCACAACCAGAAAACTGATCTCTGCTACAACTGACCAACTGTTTTCCCAAGAAAGGTAAGGCATTCTGCAAGATGTTGCAGAGCCTTAATTGACATTCTGGACGGTTTACCTTGTTTTCAACAGGGCATTCTTAACGGTTTTTTGACATTGTATAGGGCATTCTGAACGGCTTTAGAGGGATTTGTAAGTTCTCCCAGGGCATTTACAAGGTTTTGGGTGACGAACGACCGTGACGATTTTAGCAACAGCCTTGGGGTGATGTGAATGACGAGGGTGCTGCTTGATGCTCCTTGCAACGGCGATGATGATGATGATGATGATGATGATGATGATGATGACGACAATTAGGCAGTAGGTGTAAGTTCGTAACTAGCAGTCAATTCCCAACCAGGCACCCCTTCTTCGAACCAGTCACTCCTAGGGGTTCTTTGCAACCAATCATTCTCTTTAGAGTTTTTGGTCCACTTTCTCTACACGATGACACACGCACACACACACACACACACACACGTCCAGTATCCGGGCGAGCGACGGTCCCTCCTGCAACTGGCTTTTTCCAAAACGGATTTGTTTTGTTAAAGGTTCACATTCAGGATTGAAAACCATGCAAATTGTGAGCTTCTTAGCTGGTTGTGATATGGGTTCTGGGTCTTGCACACATCCAGTTGCGGTACAGGGCCAGGGCTTCGGGGTATCGGGGTTCCGCTTGTAGGGAGCAAGGGGGGGAGGGGGAAGGGGGGTTCTTGTTTGGCCGATGACAAGAAGCCCCCCGCCTCCCTCTGCCTTTTTGAACCAAACAAGAACCCACTTCCCATTCCTCTTTGGCCCAAACCCACCACGTACTACGTACTACGCAGTACATAGAACGTACTAGCCACAGACTTTGTTCTCCATACTACTTACTAGTTGCTGCTTACTACTGACAACTAACTACTTACGAACCAATAACTACTACCTACTACATGCTACCTACAACCTACTACCTACTACCTCCTACCTCCTAACTACCACCTACAAGCTACTACCCGCTAACGACCATTTACTACCCAGTTACTACTAGCTACCATGCACTAACTGTAAGCACTGGCTACTAGCTACTAGCTACTGCCTACTAGCTACTACCTCCTACCTGCTACCTACTACCTACTTACCACTCTCTACCTAGTACCGACGACCGACTATGCTATTGCCACTACTACTACTACTACTACTGCTGCTACTCCTACTACTACTACTACCACCACCACTACCACTACCACTACTACTTCTGCTACTACTACTACTACTACCACCACTACTAGGACTCATCTGCCCTATCTGCTATAATCAACACTACTAGTACCAACATTCGTTTGTGGATCAAAGAACGAAGTTGCAAATGCATCGACCTTAATCTTCCAGACGTTGGGTGTCCTACCAGGCTTGTTCGGACCTTCTGAGGCCGTACCTTCAGAAGATGTTGCGGACGTGTAGAGGATTAGTGAGATTCGGCTGCACCATAGCCCAGTCACATTGCAAAAGACATGCGGTAAGGGGTAGCACGCGATAGAATACTCTTAAACAAGTTGTGCTGGCGACTAGCTTGGCCAAGTTGCTTTCTTCGAAGGATGCTGACCTGGGCAGGAAGACTCGGGATGCTGACGATTCTACACTTCACGGGGAAGGGGAAAGGGTTGGGAAGGAGGCCGGGAGCCCTCCCGTCCGGCTCTGGTCCAACCAAGCAGCACATGTCGATGGTTTTGGCATTGGTTTTGGAACTCTCGCTGCACCAACTCTCGCACCAAAGCCATTCTTGTGGTAGGCTGTATATGGGCAGGTTGGCTTGGATGTAGTTTGGCAGGTCCTCCCAGACTTGCGAATGTGCAACTTGCATGCCACAGATATCCACAGATCCCGGAAAGTCCCAGTCTGAACCTGATCCAAGTTGGCCAAGCTGTGCGGGTCTGCCGTCAAGGACTGATAAACATCTCGGAGAGTATCCCCTGCACCAGTTTGTCGGAACACCTGCGCATGACGATAACCATGTTCGTCCCCTGTCTTTTGTGCAAGCATCCTGCCTCTAGGTCAACAACGAACAGGGCGGAGATATGGTAGTAGTGCCGACCAGCCAGGTGATTCTTCCAGAAACCTTGCCTGACAATGGACGCTCACGTCTCCCTTGCGGTCTGCGAGTCGAACAATCGCAAACGTCCTCAGCCAGCCAAGTCACTCCCAGAACCTAAAGCCCACAGTGTCCGGATTTTTCAAATCCTCCTGCTTTGCTGCCTTCGCAGAGGATGCAACTCGGATGAATTCGGCAAATCAGGGCACATCTCACACACTTGACCCAAATTTCTCACGCTCCATCCATTCAACCAGCCTTTCCGGTCAAGGATCCCCAGATGTGGCTAGTGAGGCTTTCCGGTGGTCCAGATCCGCAGAATGGCACAAAGCCATAGACATGGCCTTCGATGCGGATGCGAAACGCTCGTGCCACTCAAAGGAACGGCCAGGACCTTTGATGTCCATCCTCCAAAGTTCCTCCACCTTGTCTTGTCGCGAGATCGCTCGCCCCAACATTGACGACACTCGCAAGTAACGTGGTCATGTCGTGCAGCTGCTTGAGGAGCAAGGACTGTTTGTCTGAGAGTTTGGCGTTGGCACGGACGATCTGGTCGGCATCGATAAACAGGATGCGCTTCACTTCTGCAGGGAAGAATACATCCAGGAAAAGGATCCTGCAAGACTCACGCGGTGGACAGCGCAGACGGTTTATGGATCGGCTCACGGCTGAGCCGTGCTCGCTGATTCTTGACCAAGGCTCTTGTATGCCCAGATCACACGCTGCTTTTGCGTTTGCTCGCGCCTTACTGTACAGGTTTCTATCAACACAAGCCCTCAATGCGAAGCAGTTCTAGACCCTTGAAAGCCCCATCAAGACACGCCGAGTCACAACCAGGTGGGCCACTTGTACGTCACGCGACTGACGGCAAAGCCTACTTGCTCTGCCAAACCGGGCAGAATTCGGCGAAAGCGAGGGCTGAGGAAATTCTCGACAAGCCAGAAGCGCAGCTTGCCTCGACGCCACGCAAACAGACAACTGCATGCAGCTGCATGCTGCTGATGCTTAGCCATCCTTGCCACAAGCCGAGACTCACTTGGTGTGCTTGCGGACTGAGAGCATCATAATTCGCCTTGGAGGAAAGAATTGTACGATTTCGTGATGCTTCGGTGCCGCCGAAACAGTCATGTTCCTGTGCGCAGTGGTCCCTGTGGCTGTGGAATCTGGGCCCCGCACAGCAAGCGCTCGTAGCGAAGACCTGTAAACTGATGGGACTTTCGGAGATTCTGCAACGTTTTCATAGATCTGTCTCCGTGCTGAGAGCTTGTTGACATTCTGTTTCTCCAAGATTCTCCAAGCCTGCTTCCCTGCTTCCCTCTTCACAACTGCCGCGCCTGAGGCCACGCTGAAGATGTGGATTGTCTCGGAGCATTCCGCGGGATCGCCACCTGCCCCTTCGAAGTTCTGCGTGCTTTCCTTATAGGGATGCGAGAGAGAAACCAAGTTTGAGGAAAGTGGCTTGACTGCTCCGACAGTTAAGCCAGTTAAGCCGGTCTCGGAGTCGTTTGCCTTGAAGAAGCTCGCTTGTGCGTCCTGAGACAGAGGTGCAGACAAATAGAGACAGATCCATCGAATCGTGTCCGGCCTCTCCGAGGCCCATTTTGCCTACTCGAGCTTCCAGCAGAGAGCCTCTGCCAGCCAGGTCCTTAAACGAGAAGCTTTGGGCTTTCAAAGCTTGCGTGTCTTGTCCAGTCCAAACGTCTGCCAGCTGAACGAGACCTTTCGGCCGCAGCAGCCTCTCGTCGTTGGAGCGAATAGATAGCTGGTACCTCGAATGAGTAAAATTGCCTCAGCCTCCAGCCCAGCAACCCCAGGACCTGGCCGAGCTGCACACCCGGCTTCTGACGCAGTTGGAAGTAGCCACTTTTCACAACCTGAGGCTGGCGTGGGGCACGTGATCTTTCAACTTGAGGCACCCTGCCACCCACTAAATGTCGAGAAACATCCCAGTTTTACCAGA